CTTAGGCTCAGGAGCACGGGTTTGGCTTCAGTGGGAACACATGGGAGGATCAGTATTATATATTGGAATAAAATTGCATTCATTGACTACTAATTTGTGTGAGCCAGAACCACATTTTAAAGCCCCAAATAAAATATATTATTTCCGTCGTCCTAAAAGTGTGCGCATGTGTAACGTAGCCCAACGCAACTAAGTAATAAGATTATCTTAATCAGATCTGATTATCTATTGATAAGATAAGATAAGATAAAGATAAGATAAGATAGTCCAACTTCGCATCAGTATTCATTGTCATCACTTGACCACAGGACATGGCAACAGTAAGCCAGGACGTTTGGGCGAACATCCTCGAAGCGCATGTCCACATACACCACACGCTCTTGCAAGCTGCCTTTACTGTTCAAATCAGAGTCTGGGAGGACACGGTAAAACTCACATTACCTGACCACATGAAAGAATGCGACAGATGACTCATAGCAGCAACTTGTTTCCATTCATTCCATTGTTGACCGCAGGACATGACAGCAGTGAGTGTAAACGGCGGGACAAATGCCCTTCACAGTGAAACACATGTGTCCAAGCACAAGTCTCCAGAGCTTGCGAGATGAGAGAACTGATCCGCAAGACAGAGAGATGCATCAAAATGACATAGCAGCAACTTGTTTCGATCAAGTGACCTTGGGGTTGAGTAATTATGCCAGTCTTAATTATGATATGGGCCCTGCATGCTTCCAACTGCACCATGCTGCTGTGTGTGGTACTATAAAGTCTAGGATGTGTGCATCGGGGCTTGAGAGAGCGAGAATTGAAAGTGTGACGCAATGCGATGGCGTGGTCCACACATGGATGACCGGGGGTCAAACATGTATGCGGTTGCATCCCGTGTAGCATCACAACAGAGTGTGATTATTTGCTGACCGAAAACTTTGGTTCACTTGACCATTGAACGTAGGACATGGCAGCAGAGTCAAGACGGCCAGACGAATGTCCATGTCCATGTCCACAAAATGCATGCATAAGTCACAGTGAACAGGACTGAGGCGACAACGACGATACTCAAGTCATTCATGCAAACACCAGCCGCGCACCACGGCTGCTTTGAAGGAAGGGTGGGAGTTCTCATTTTTGGTGGGAGTGTTTTATTTTAGTTTCAATTCTTTCGTCGTATCTTGCTGTCCGTTTGCATGGGTGGGAGTGTTAAAGGTACCAGGCTACACGGACACCTTAGATACTAATACGTACAAACACACT